TCATCAACTGTTCCTCTCAGTTTTTAATTGCAAACTGCTGCAACATTAACGCACTCCCCAGCTAGATCAACGGCGGACTTGTCAAGGGAAAGGTGGACAGAGACATAATCTTCTTCAGGGTCTGTCATTGCTCAAGCTTTCAAGCGGGTAATTTTGTTGGCCAGCATACTGTGAGAACCATGTTTGTGTGTGACCAAAGTTTACAATTGACCAGGAATAGTTGTATAACCTCAGTTCTGTTATGTTAGAATTTGAGGCACTTACCAGGTTAGGAAGGTTTCGGGCTGACTGACCATAATAAGTGTCACTTTATTAATAATCTCATTTTCCAGTAAATCAACGACTTTCTGGAAGTGATCAACGGACAGTTAAGCGTGTCAACTGATTAAGCCTTCCTCACTCACTGCGTCTATACGGACGAGCAATTCTCAATACACTTCGTAGCACTAGTAGTCATTCAACGCTGACTACTTCTTCGATGGATGCATCTTTGGTTAATGTCAACACTACAGGAGGCGGTCACCCTCGGATCAACAGGAAAGAAAATTTACTCTCAACCCACTCGCACTGTGAGTGTGTGGTAAAGCTGCGAGCTCTAATTGAATATCACGCGATTTTCGACATGCGCTAATGATACAAGAAGCAATGGATCAGCGCTTTGCAAATTTTTTTTGCGCATAAGCAAAGATTAGTGGGAGTTTTGTCCAAGAATATACCGACGACGCTCCGTCACCTCCACTACAAGTGGCAGTACCACCGTCAGTTCACGGTACGTTCCGTGAAAATCAAGGTGGAAAGCTTCTACGTAAGCAAAGATGAAAATTTCGTGTCTCGGCAGCGAGAAATGGACATATCAATTGCGATGTCTCAAATTGGTGATGACCACAGTAAATGTGGCTTTCACCATGTCGCATTTGAATGATCATCAAAATCAAAAATTGGGCGATGACATGGGATGTCAACCGCCCTGGCTACTTTGCCACATTGCAAGAGTTGAAATAGGCTATGGCGTCGATGTTCCTTCCACCAAATGTGCATTCCGACACTAGTCGGAATTTTTGTCATGCCGCCAAGACGACGACACATTGTACGACTATGTACAGAAGCTTTGTGACCTTCGTGCCAGTATGGCAAGCAAACCACTGCCAGAGGCAGTGATGGTAACTGTGTTTATGAAGGTACTCACTCATGATCCTCCTTAAACCGAATTCTTCCACCAGAGTCCGACGATTCTGGGAGATACAATTATGATTGCATTGCTTGGTAAGAACTGTCAACATCAAGCACGTGGGCAATCGGTCAAGTCGATTGAAGCAGTGGCTGCTACCACTGAAAATCCAAAAGCAAGTGATCTTAATGTGGTGCCTGTCCGAAGGCAGCAAACCTGCTGTTAATGTCAACAATTTAGTCGCATCTGCTGTGATTGTCCACATGGGAGATGAACCTCTAAATATGGTTCTCTCCGAACGTTCCAAGCCACGTGGTACCAATATCATGAGACGTTCGGAAATTACGGTATCCAATAGACGCAGGGCGGTCTACTGGGGTAGTAATAAGTACTTGCGAGTGTGGTAGTAAAATCACTCATGAGGGGTTAGCTTTCAAAGGATCGTTGACGTTCATTAACGAGACGGTCGAGTGATCTCCTCGTGGCCACAGCGAGTGTGAAGGGTAACAGTCGTCCGTTTAGAGTCTTGATTGAATCTGGCTTGTTGCGTTACTATGTGCGGAATCAAAGAGTTGCTAAAAATAATTTAGTGTTCTTGGATGCGCTAAATAGAAGTAGTGACTTTATCTCAGTGAAGTCGACCAATGGTGCGGTGGTCACCGCGAAGAAAATATGGTTGATCCTCAACTGAAGCTTAAAGACTTCAAAGTATTCAAAGTCCTCAAGATGGACAAACGTTTGATTTGATTTAAGTATAACGTGGTTTAAAAAGCATGAGCCATGGTCTGATTGGCGATCGAGTACGATTGGGAGTAGCTATCCCGGCGTAGGTAAAACTCTTGGGACATTCACTTCGCTCCAGAAGAAGCGCTCAAGCGCTCGATAGTCGTATGTTGGTGGAAATGATCCACACTTCATTGATCTACGTCATGCAATTGATATTCCCCAGATTATGGGAGATAAGGAGTCGTATGGAGTGTCCAGAGTGGTTACTCAGGACGTGTGTCGATAGATCAAGTGGTAACCAAAACTGGCCACTTGAAAACGAATGAATCGTTGGTGTGTATGGTGATTCGTCCAACGAAAAGAATTTATGAGCCGAAAAAATAACGTGCTGGCTGACGCATTGTGTCGTCTTGATTATGAGCTAAGCCATATTAGCGTTATCGAAACAATGTATTTGATATGATACGTCGAGCGTGTGTTGTGTATAAATAGTGTGATCTGATTATCAAGCCACTCTCATCGAGTAATATGGAGCTCGGTTTCACGCATTCTGGTCACTTGACATTAGTACTGCTCGTAATGGCCCTTTTCACTATGTAGTTGCACATGGCGACGAACCAGGGGTAGTGCTTCTTCGTGTTGATGGTTTGAAGTACAATATATTGTACAAGGCGTATGATACGCCGATAGTCGGCCACTTTGGCCGTGAGAAGGCCTACCAGTCTCTCAGTACCCAATTTAATTGGCCCCGCATATGCTAGTGTGTGGCACGATACGTGAAGACATGCAATGTCAGTCAGCGCGTGAAGAGTGCACGGCACACGCAAGTGACACTGCAGAGCCTCTCAGTTCCTATTGATCTTTTTAGATTCTTCCATTGATAGCTGGCCTGTAAGCAGATCCAGCAATAAATGCCATTTAAATGGACCAGTGCCTCTGAACCAAAAAGACTGGAAAAGATCGTATGACAGGCCAAAAACTTGCGCAAGAACAGTGTATAGTTCGCCGACATATAGCAACCCTACATCAATCTTCTATAAAACGGGGTTAATCTTTGGTTTGGTTTGGCGCAAGAGGTGGCATTTAATGCTTTGTATAAACGCTTGGAGTGTGATAGATGTTGAGGGCTTTTTACTACGCAGTGTATACCTTTCTTATGATGTAGGTAAAACAAAATAGAAACTTGTTCCATCTTTATCTTGATTTTAACACACAAACTCATATCATTTTATGCAGCCGGGCTGCCGTAGCTTAGCGCTTGAAAAAGCGTAATTTAGGTCACCGACCTTTCGTTCTGTACTAAGAATAAGTACGAGTTGGCGGATCGCAATCCGCTTACTCCAAGAGTAAGTATTGCCTTACTCAAGGCTAATTAGCTCTTCCGCTTATAATCCAACACTGATTTTTATTTATTTTTATCTGCGGCAAAGCCGCCTAATTTTAAATATTTAGATTCTCCTAAATATACTATATATAGTAAGATCTAAATACATGCATAACTACTGGCTACCTAGCACCCGTACCGTGTGACACACACACCTGTTACCAGGGTACGTGTAACCCTGTTGCATTATATCTATTTCTTTGCAATCGGAGCTAAGTGTTTTCGAGAGGTTCCTATCATAATATAACAACGGGATTCAAGTTAGATGACTTGAACGCGATGCACATTTGATATGGTTTACTTTATGAGTCATAATATATAGAAATATCTATGCAGTGTGGGCGTTAGCTTATAACACTCAGTTGAATGGACGGGTATTAGCCGGAACTTCTTTTTTAAGTACTGAGTGAGCCTAAAGAAAAAAGTATATACAAATACAGTGGTGGAAAGTACATATTCAAGCAGAAGCTTGGATACAAATTCGGTCAATCCACAAAAGTATTTGACTATAAATGCGGGACCAGCTGAACTGCGCAATAAAGTGATCTGCGACGGCGAGCGACACGAGTTGGGCCATACCAGACACTTGACACCCACAAAGCTGACGGCGCTTCGCGTGTATAGCTTTATTATTGAACATTGTAAAACAAATATATTTAGCCCTGGCTTGAATTGGACCTGATTTCACATGTTAATCTTATATCTGAAACGCAGCTAGCTATCTCAGTTTTTATACGACTTTTAATTACGGTTCTGATCGGACATATGAACTCATATTATGTGCGTAAACCCATTGAATGAAAATTCGCTGCATAACAGCGCCACCATCACTGCACTTGCGTCAGACCTATCAGTTTAAACGGTCGTTGGTACGATTATGCTATACCGAAGCACTTTGCCTTTCATGCATCAAACCATCTCGAACACTGCCTTTGTTGCAAACGTACGCATCAGATACCAATTGTTAGGCCTGTCGTCGAAGTGTACTTTACTACAGTATCGATCTCCAGCGATTGTGTGAGAGGAAAACTTGCAATTTTGCAATATGTTACGTTTGATAAAGCAATATTGGATCAAGTGACCAGTTTTTTTTACGTGCGCATCAGAAATGATATTTTAGCGCAAAGACGGACAGCGAAAACTTGAGTAGGGGACAATAGACGCGGCAAAACCTGTATTGTGGTAATAAACTGGTCTTCCGTGAGCCATTGTAACTATTGATTGGGTTCGACTGAATTGTCTCTGCCAACTGAGACAACATCGTGTACCACAGGAAGGTAATATAAGCAGCTGCAGGGTAATATTCGTAGTATTGATAGAGTCGACGATAAATGTGACCAACAATCTTGGACTTGATAGAGGAATAGTTGCTTGGGGCATCATTATTACAAGCACACTATGCTGTTGAAGATCTGACTGCACCCATTACGATGCATGTAACCCAGACTGCTATGCAGCAAATACAATAGCTACATATCAGGTCACAGCCAAAATAAAGTCACGCAAGATGAAACGACTGTCGTCTTTCAGGAAAATTAAAGCATAAAGATTTAGGATCTACTTCTCGACTATCAGCCATTCTATTAATGATGTCTCTTTTTACTTGTAGTCATCGGAAACTTGATTTGTAACAGCCTTTATTCTCTCAGTTTATGCTCAATTATGACATATTGCAGCTATGGTCACGAATAAAACTAACCCCTTTAGCGTAGAGAAGGCTTTATGTGTAAATTTGGCGCCGCTGATGCGTCAATTGCGTCGTATGATATTTTACTACCTGCATTAGTGCTTTGTCGAACGATCGAAGAAAACTTAATGAATCAGCTTCAAAGTTGGGGGAGCCCAAACATTACCGAAACGATTGATGAAAAAGAATTCAAAAGGAAATGTAAACAGTTTGAGAGTAATTGCTATCACTGGACCGAACGATGCAGTTTGTTGCTGTGACCAGATAGAATACTGGCACACCGTATCTTATGGTCGATTACCACAGCGTTGCACGAGCTAGTTGACAAGATTTCTTTTAAAGAAAAGGCTAAATCACTTTATGACTGTGGTACTTAGAATAACTATCACTTGCCTGTTTGCGAAAACAAGTTATAGCTCTTTTGCACAATATAACTCTTTACGTCTTGTATTATAATTAATCTGCGTACACTCACGAGATTCAGATGGAGATGACTAGTAGATTTATATTATGATGCTTTTAACCAGCATATTATGCAATTCTATCGAGATTTCGCGCTGAATTGCCTTTTTGTGTTGGTTAAATTTTGATATGGCTCGTGAAAATGTTGCAAATGATCACTAAGGCAAGGATTACAAGGATGCTTAACGAGATTTCTTGTCTAACTCTATGTACCCTCTGGAGGTTTTTATAACTGTCTTCGTGCTAATGTCCAACCAGCGGAATTCCTGTCAAGTCTTTACCTAAACATAAAACGCAACCATTCCTACTTGTGGTAGTATCAACTATTAACATTGTGATGTGCCAAGCATGTGTAACTGTTAAAATTACACCGCTGAATGCATGTGGATGATTACGGATGCTGATTACGGACA